ACTGCGTGTGGCTCGCACCTCCCGATGTCCTCGGGGCCCATGACATGGGCAGCTGCTCTGGCACAGGACAAGTCCCGATGCCCACGGCATCACTGCTGCTGCTCGTCCCTCTGCAGCACAGTCCAAGGACCAACGCCAATGGCAGAAGTGCCTGCCTCGCCCGCTGCGCTACCCCAAGGCGGCAGCACCAGGCACGTGGGTGCTGCCAAGGGTGACGCTGTGCCATCCACACCCGCTGCTCAGGCACCCACAGTACTCTCGGGGTCCTCGGGCCAGGACCGAGCCCACTCACACTGCCTCAGGTCACGGCTTGCCGCATCTGCGACTGGAATACTCCGCCCCCTGCCTGAACCACACCCACTGACACACTGGTCTCTGCAAGTGCAGCTGGCCCTGCACGGGGTAAGTGTAGCACATAAAAAAAGACCTATGGGACGCTGAGAATTGCAGCCACTCATTCTCCCTTTTTTTTGGTGGTAGATGTCTTGCTAGTTACGCTTTCTCCTCATTTATGGCACTTCAGTGGGTCAAGTTAGTAGAGCAGATACCGGAGAGCTTGATTACCTTCAAAGTCTAACAAGCAACACTGCTCTGTGTGGAAAGCTCCACAGCGCAGGCACAGAAGGTGCACACCTTGTACCAAACTATCGCCACAGAGCATCTCTGCACATCCCTCAGTCATGGCATGGAAAGGAAACTGCAGACGTCTTCCTGTGACAGGACAGTCTGTGTCTTCTCCGCTTGCCTGTGACTTCACACCCAAGGACACGCACGAGCTGCACACACGGTGCCTGCCGCGGGCAGGAAGCCGGGAGAGCTGGCAGGTACACACCACGACTGCGCAGGAGAGGCTGGATCCAGCAGCCGTGCGGTGGGACAGTGTGGCAGGGCTGTTTGCTGTCTTGAGCTTTTGCTCATGTGCTCTTCTCCATTCTCACTTCAGCACTGGAAGCTTTTGATACAGAAGCAGCAAGATGTCGAGGTGCTCTGCAGCACAAAAGGGCCGGGCCTCCAGCCCCCCGGCATTCCCTAGATACGCCTCAGCTTCGCCGATACTTGAGGCAGGAGCAAACGTCAAGTATGTTCTTCTCACAAGTCTCTCAGAACCTGTGCTGCAAAACACACCGCTCGGCTGTAGTAACAGCGGCAGACACGGGGCTTCCCTCACGCCTCCTGAGGTGTCAGCGCCAGAAGGGGTCTCAGCGGTGCGGCAGCCCCGTCCCCGCCGTCGC